ACATCCAATTAACCTAGGAACCTTAAGTGGCCTTCAAATCTTGCTCCATTTCTTCATAATGGCTTCCAAAGTAGTAAAATTTATTTTTATTAAAGACTTAAAAATTATTCTAAAAATTATAAATATATTATAATTTTTTTTAAATACTAATATCAATTTAAAGATATAATTTTTTATCTTAGTTATTTTTATAGAAATAAAATAAATTTAAATCAACTATAAATCTTAATTTTTATAAAAATAATTAAAAAGATATAAGGTTCTTTCTCATACTTCTTCTAACTACTAACCAATATTTATAGTTTTTTAAAAGTAATACATATAAATAAAAGGCCAATATAAATATTTAATTTAATAAATAATTCTTAATATTCAATAATAAATAAATAATACTAAACTAAATAAGATAATTACTTCCAAGACTTACAAAGACTCCATTTCTATAACTAACATTTTAATTTTCTATTTTTCTAAAGATTTTTATACTATTCACCATATATTGTGATTTTAAGCACTCTAAATACATCTTTTTGTTCTAAAAAAACTAGTGAGTTGATTTAGTGACTTACATATCACAAACATAGAATCATAAGAACTTGAGATTAAAAGATCCATAATAAAATCCATGAAAACAGAAGACCATAGTTGCTCTTGATTAGATAATGATTAAAGAAGTCTATAAGGTTGATGATGAAGAGTTTTTAATTTTGAACAAATGTCACATGATTGTACAAAGTCTTTGACTGCCTTTTATATTTGAAATTATTAAAAATCTCTAGATCTTATCTCCAAAATCTTATTGTATCTAAAATATCTAGATATTACAAAGTTGTAACAAGCTTGAATAACTTATAATCATATTTCATCTTTTAAAATATATAAACAAATTTAAAAATAAAAAATATGTTTATTGAATTCAACCTTTGAAGTATCGTGAAATTTAGAAGAATTATTTCTTAATATTATGAACAAGAAGATCAACTGACATATTCAATTGAATTTACTTGAAAAAAGGTTGAATCAATAGTCAATATTAATTTCATTGCTTAAAGATTCAAATGCTTTTACTTCAAAAAAATATATATATTAATTAAAAAATTTATTTCTTTTTGATATAAGATAAGAATATCTAAAAAAGACATTTAACAAACCTTGTTTTTCAAATTGATAAACAAACTTGAAATCAAAACTTGATGAAGATATACTTCAACAAGCTTAGTAACAATTGAACATACATGCTGATGTGAAATACTTAAATTTTTTGTTATCTATATATATGGTGATTGAATTGAAAGCGCCTTCTAGATAACAGTAAAATTTTTGAAATAAATCTATGAGTACAAGAAGTTTTTTGTCATAGATCTCATAATTCATTTCAATTGTTAAATTATTTTTTGGCATACAAAGCCAATAGATGGAGTTTGTCATTTGTTGCTATTTGTGACAATATCATTCTTAAGGCAAATTTTGATGCATTTATTTTCAAAAAAAATGCTTTTAAAAAGTCAACATGATACAAAATTGGAACAAAAATAAAAGTTGTTTTTGAAGATTCAAAAGATGCTTTAGCTTTTTTGCTCCAATTAAATTTGTCTTTACATGTAAGACATATAAGAAGAGCCACAATTTGAAAAATAATTATTAATAAAGATTTAATAGTAATTGGTAAATTCCAAAAAACATTCGACATCTCTTATTATTTTTGGAACCTTCTAATTTATGATAGTTTAAACATTTTTAGGATCCATCTTAAGGCCATCATTTTAAATAATGTATCCTAAAATTTCAACCTAAATATTAGTATAAAATATACACTTTTTTATCTTAATAAATAGTCTTACATCTCTAAGTTTTTGTAATACATGACAAACATGAAATTCATATTCTATGTTTTTAGAATAGATTAAGATGTTGTCTTTGTAGCAAACAACAAAATCATCAAGAAAATCTCAAATAAATATCATTTATTAAATATTAAAAAATAGCTAATACATTCATGAATCCAAAAGGCATGATATTATATTTAAAATACTTATATTTGATTTAAAACATAGTCTTTCATTCATCTCCTTCTTTGATCCATATTAGTTTATATGTTCCTCATAAATCTATTTTTATATAGATTTTTTCTTGATTGAGTTAATCAAGAAGTCCTAAAATCAAAAGTAAAAGATACATTTTCTTGATGGTGATCTTATTGAACCTTTGATAATCTATAAACATTTGCAATGACTTGTCTTTCTTCTTTTTAAATAAAATAAGAGCTCTTGTTAGAAATTTTGAATGGCGTATAAAATTTTTAACTAAGTTTTTGTGAATATAATCCTTAAACATAGCTAACTTGTTTTGCAATAAGTTATAAATTGGTCCAAATTGTGATTGAATTCTTTCTTGAAGATCAATTGAACAATCATATAGATAATATTCTAAAAACATATTTGCATTCTTTTTTTCAAAAAAATCTTAATAATTTTCATACCGATTTAGAATATTGCTTGTAGTCTTTCCACCATCAAAATGGATGTGGTGTATATGGCAAAAAGTGACATTTCTTTTGTAACATACATAAAAACTTTTATACCTATTAATAAGTATTTTATTATATTAAATTTATATATTTTTACTTCACTAATAGAATCATGGACTAAACTACAAAAAAAATCAATTTGAAGATTATATTTCTCTAGCCATGATAATCCTAAAATAATTGAATTAGAAAGATATCTAATTATATTAATTATTACTAAATTATTATAATTATTACGTGTTGTATTTAAAAGAACAAATTTATAGATAAAATCTCTAAAAGATAATAAATGACTATCTATAACCTCTATATTCATAGATTTGATTTTCTTGACTTAGAATATTTCTTATTTTTTAATAAAGTCTTCATTTATAAAACAAGTTGAGACTCTTGAATCTAATAAGATAGACTTTGTGATTTTTTGATCTTAAAAAAAACCATATTATAAAGCAAGGTGAGAGATTTGAAAAGAAAATGAGACCTTTATTGGGTGATGCATAAGATTCTACTTGCATGGTTCCTATTATAGCTAGAGAAATTCATTTTCTAACAAATTATCCTCTATAGCAACCATACTCTTCATTTAGTGGTTGCATTGCTTCTTTGAATAATATTAAATAGTATGTTTAGGTTCTCTACAATATAAGTATAAACCTTCTTAAAGACATTGAAGCTTTTCTTACTTAATTAGAGCTTGAAATATACTATATTAATTTATACAGGTTTTGATCTTTATGAATAAGCTTCTATGAACTTAGAAGATATTGCCATTGCTTGATTCATACCTCTCCTATCAAATCTTTGTTCTTGGCAACTTTCAAAGAGTTGATTGTCGCATGTAATGGCTTGAGCAATAAGTTACTTTAGTGAATCTTCTCTTGACATTGTCAACAATAAATCTTTGACATTATCTTTTAACTCATATTGAAATTGATTGATAAGGATTTTGTCATTTTAATTCACATTTCAAGCAAGATTTTGGAATTCAATAGTATATATGGTAGTTGAACATAATTTTTGTCATAAAATTATTAGTTTGGTCTTTACTACCTTTTTTCAATTATTTTTTTTGAAGGTAGCCATAAACACTTTTAAGAATGAATTTAAATTATAGACAAGACATGAATCTTTTTCCATCAAAAGTGCAAATTAAGAAAAAAAAAACTTAGAAAATATGACAACCTTCAAAATATAATAATAGAAGTGAAATAATCCATCCACTTCTAATACAAAACAAGAGCAATAAGTTAGCACTCTTATCCAATTGTCAAAGATATGAATGTCAAAGAACCAAAAACTCAATATACTCTTATGTCACTTCAAAAGAATAGATATTCACCAAAACTAATATCGTACTGAAATTGGAATGAGTATTGTCAAAGACAAGAAGACTAAGAAGTCTTGAAATAAGTCTAAGGACTAGAAAGACATTGACAAGAGTGAAGAAGGCTTTACTCTTGCCTCCATATATACTATCTAACTAAGAGTTATGTGGCAACATTCTATAAGACCTCTAATATGTGTCCAACTTGCAAGACATGTGTTTTAACTTACAAGACAATATTTTTATATATATGCTACATAGTTAGCTTATAATACAAGCTACCAATATATGCAACATGTAGCTAACTATGTAGCGCAACTAAAATTGATGATTCTATTGACAGATATAAAGCGCATCTAGTTGCTAAAGGTTTCTTTGATATCTCTTTAGTTGTCAATAAGATTTCTCACGAATGTTAAGTTCATTGTAAAGTATCTTTATGATACTACATATTATATTTTATGTTACTCTAATTCTAATGCTAACAACATCCTCACGACTTATGCCGATGCTGATTACTGTGGTGATCTTGACGACTATAAGAGCCAGAGCAGAGTTGTTATCTTGCTCAACAAAGCCCCAATTCTTTGGCTCAGCCACGAGCAGTTATGCACTGCTAGCTCTACTGTGGAGTCTAAACACATTGCTGCATATCTTGCTGGTATAGAGACTATGTGGATCCATCGTTTGTTGCAAGATATTGGCTACTAACAAGCTAGACCAACTCCTCTTTTTTTGAATATTCAATTTGCTATACATCTGATTAATAATCACAAATATCATAAGCTCACAAAGCACATTGAGATTCAATATCATGTTGTTTTTGAGATTCAAGCTCAAGGTGATATCCATACCAGTTATGTTCCGACTGATCTACAACTTGCTACAAAAGCCTTTCCTGAGAAGTTCCATCGTCTTCGAGGACTCAAAATTGTCAAGTGCAGTAGAGTGGGAGAATTTTTGTATCAAGAAACTACATGTACCTTCTGTGTACCAATGTGTGGGAGTATGGGTGTTACATTGTTAACGAAGTACAATGTAGTTTAGTGTAGAGTTTCATTCGTCCGGCGCACCTTTCGAGTAGTACACCACTTGCTCTGATCGGTTTCTCTTTCGACTCTTTCAGTCTACACCCTGTAATGTCATGAGTAATGGTAGTACAGAGCTTAAGCCCTCATTATCATCTCTGTGTGATTATTGATGTATGTGTATGTTAAAATACTTGCACCAATAGAATGTCATGAGATCTGTCGAGTTTCGTTGTGACACACAAAAGTGGGGAAGTAATCATGTACTGCCGCTTCACTTACATGGTCATCTAAATTTAACAGCTAACAATGCCAGTAAGTCTGAACTCGCTAACACACCAGTCTCTACAACTCATCGAACCTAAATGTCTACAAACCATCCCCTGCACCTGATCTCTACATACTGTACAGAGAGAATTTTGAATATACTGTGACCAGTCGTATCCTCCCGATGCTGTTGCTAAAATAATGACTAGCTATCCTTTTCCGTAAAAGAGGATCGATCACACCCCATTGCGGAACTAAATAATTGTTTACATGCAGTTGATCCAGTACACATGCGCTGATGGATACTACAACTGCAGATTAATGCAACCCTTTAGATGAATAATGATGCACTTGAAAATGAAGCTACGCCTTTCCCGACTCTACGCACATACTCGAATGAAATTAATCTCTACACCACTGGAGTTATCACTGAGTCGGAGTAGCGAATATTTTCCCAACTGAAATAACACAAACACAGTCAGAATCCAAGTGAAAGTACTTGACAGCCAAGTTCAGAGAGCATGTCGTATCAAGGGAATAATAATAATGATGATAACAATCATATATAGATTGTTGGATATTACATTGTGACTGGGATAGCTCAACAAATGAATACCGCAGCTATAGAATTCAAATTTCCAGAAACCCGTACGTATAATTAAAATGAAGGAAGGTGAGGAGATGAAAACTCACATTCAGAGTTTGTTCGAACAATGACGAGAGACAAGGGTGCTTTGTTCGGGGGAAGCTGCAATCGCATCCTGTAGAGCTTCTGAGTAAGAGGATTCCGCATGCACAATATAATATCCTCGTCGATCCCCGTCTCAAGCTGCAGCTGCTCCGTTAACTCTTGCAGGCTGTGACCCTTGAACAAAAAGCTCCCGAAAGTTTCATCGTCATGAGCCAACACTTCACCGTCATCCTCTGCAATCGAGTAAAAGATTCTCCGCACATCAGAAGGAGACTTCGCACTTGGGGTCCTTGGGGAAGCTTTGCCCCTGCCTGCAATCTCTCCTTGGTCAATTTTGAGGTTCTGCAGTCGAGTTCTCGGTGATGGAAGTTCCGACGGTGGCGAATCATAGTCGTCATTTGAGGAAAGTTGGGGGGGCAGCTCTGACATTGTTGTACGGTGTCTGTGCTGCGCAGATCGTTGATTTGGCACTGGAGACGATGCCTCCGAAGACGATGAATAATCATCAGCAGTATCAGCATTTTCCAAGGGCTGAGTGGATGGTTGCGCATTCCTGGCGGGCAGGTCAGAGGAATCAAAATGCTCGTGCGGCCGTTTAGGTTTGGGGAGGCTCTTGTGAGCGTCACCAGCTGATGGCGCATTGCGCCTGTCACGCGGAGGGCTAGAAATTGGTGACAACCTCTCTGACGGAGACGAACTGTACTCGCTCGGAGCAGGAAAGAAATCCTCAGTAGGGGCCGATTGACTACGTTTCTCCCGGGAGTTTCGATTGTACATAGGCGGCGGAACCGAAGCCTCTGGATCGTAGGAGCTGTCTGCCCTCCGCGGATGCATTGGCGGGGAGTGGGATCGCGCTGGAGGAACCTGCGGATACACATGGACATGGCACAAATGACGATTCCTGACCAGTCTAGAGGGAAGAATGATCAACACCAGCACCGCACATGCATGAGACTGAAGTTTGTAGGTAGATGGGATGGCTGTACCTGATTAGGAGATGGTACTCTGCTGGCCGGCAAAGACTGCGAGTCTAGTTTCCTGACAACTTCAACCTCCCATTGTACCACATGGTAGTTGCTTGCCAGCACTGGAACATCATGAGTCACAGAATTCCGATACGGAGGCACTCCCCCATTCGCTCGAAGAAACTTATCGCCCTTAGTTTTCAGCTTCACGAAAGTTCCAGCGGCTATAAGCTCCCACTCAAGCGACGAGTCGGCCTTCGAAGCGAAACTCTGGATTACCTTTTTACCCGTAGCGCCCAACAGAAATGCGTAATCAGAAGCCATCAGGTAAAGATCGTACACGCTTTTCAGCCTGATGGCGTTCCGTTCTGGGATGAACTCAACTCGCCAGATAACACCATAGGAATTCCGACCTTTCTTCTGCGCGACTGATCTTCGATCGTCATCAGCCCAAAGATATTTGCCTGTGTGCGCCAACAGTCGCACCGAATGTGCGTCTCGGAAGAACTCCATGGCTATTCAATTCTGAGGCCTGTGCAACTAAGATAGAAGAAACACGGACGTGTCAGCACTGATTGAATATCTAAATTCGCAAAATTGCAGACGTTAATTTCAGACATTTGATTTTCAACGACGTGCCTTTCAACCTTAGAGTATTGGGGTGCGAGATTCCAATTGTACTAACACTTTCAAAGATAACTAAATAGAGAGATAAAACAATCTTGAAACCGTTATGAAACAAAAGCTAACGTACTTCCTTTTTCCGAATATCTTTAACACCTCAAAACATCAACTCCGTAGATGTACCAAGGAAACCTGAATCAAGAAAAAAGTTCGATTCATGAACAAAGCCGAATACGGAATAACAAGCCTTAGCGCTAAAACGATCAAACAAAAGATTCCAGATTTTCATGAACTAGACGAAGCACAACCACAAACCAGTGGATTAAAAATGAACGAGAAAGGAAACTCTGAGCCATTACTTCAGTCAAGTTCACAGTTCTAAAAGAAAACTTCGTACAGTGACACTATGACAACAGAGCTTTCAGTGTCAAGGGTCTCTCAAGCCACCAAGAAACAAAACCAAAACCCAGTTCTAAGAACACACATGGAGCGAACTCCGCCCACCCGAGCATCCACTAGATATGCCACCAGGGTTAAAGCTGCAACAATCCGTCGTCCCACCACAATACACCTCGAAAATCCGCCCTGGATTACGAGCTTCAATAGAAGTAAAACCCTACCTAACAGCGTCGCATCGTACGACACACCAGCCGTTCGAAAACAAAATAATCAAAAAAATCAATAAACAAAACCAAATAAAAATCGAGAATCAACCCACCTCCGAAATCGTCAAATAGACGTATCTCCAACCCCTGCAGACCTCCAAGAACCTCCAAGCTTCAAATCTCTAAATCTCTCGCCTTTACTAAGTCAACCCACACTCCGAAACTCAGACACACAATTCTCCGAAACTCTCCTACACTCCCACAAATCCTGAAGGACACGCAACCCTGCTCTTCCACGAAACACAAAAGCAAGACTCTCGATAGAGGTACGGGGACTATATTTCACTGCGGCAACGGGATCACCCGCCACAATCCCACCTCCTTCTCGTCCTCGTCCTCGTCCTCTAGCGAGTGAGTGAGTTCGTATTTGACCAAGCCTACGGGCATGAAAAAACAGTGGCGTGTGGGAGCAGAAGGAGCTGGGTAACAGAGTAGGGCTCCGACAGGGCCAGGGGCAGGGAGGGGCAGAGAGCTGGGGTCGGTGGCAGGGCGTGGCAGAGGCTGTGCATGTGTCAGAATGCGATGTAAGAACGGGTCTTTGGATCTTTTCCGTCGAGGTCAGGCTGGCTGCAGCTTCGCAGTTAGTGGCGATGCCGTGACTCTACGCGCCGCCCTATCTTTCGCTCTACCAGCTTCGATTTTATAAGAACCGCTCCGCTAAATGAGCGTAGTTTGCTGCCTTTCCACACACATTTCCACCCGGATCCGATCGCACATGGTCGGGACCCCAGATGTAGCTGTAATCCCACCTACGCTTTGCTTGCTTGGTTGCCTACACTCTTGTGCTGCTGTGGCTGCAAATTCCACCACCTGGTCCACCGATTCTAGTGCCGGCACCCAAACCTTGATGCACACTCCTCACGGCGGCCATGGCTTCGTTGTGGACGTTGTGGATTTCTCACTGCTATTAGATGCGTCGGTACACAACCCATGCGGCGCTTCTTCACGTGGGCTCCACAATCCCCCGTTGTCACATCTTGCTTGCATGATGTTGCTTCTTGTGGTTTCCTCCCAAGGTTTTTTTATCTCTTGCCCACACAATTCAATTACACTTACTGGCTCTGTCCTCATTCATTCATTCATTAATTCATTCCATGCCTTTCGTTGTCAATTTCTATTCTTTTTTTCCTTTTTTATCACTATCCATTCTATCTATCTATGGCTTTGACATGAGGTCTTCCCCAGGTTTGTTTGATGTGTTTTGAAGGCTAGTGGCTTAAATCAAGCATAACATTGATGTTGAAAGACTTAATGATATAAATTTTAAGCTTGAAAATGTTAGGTTGTAAGCTGGGAGATGTGGGATTAAATAATACATTACTAATGTTTTCAAAATACATGAACAATTTATAATTTCTTTTCATTGATTTTATATTCATGAATTTGGAAATCCAAAAACATTGAAGATGACCCATTGTTATACTGTATATATATATATATATATATATATATATATATAGTGGACTTTATAATTTTTTAAATGCAAACACATATTACTTCGAAAAGTTGACATTAAAAAAGAAATAGACATTCAAAGAAATGCACAAAATAACAGTTCATGAAAATAACGTATTCTTCATTTATTTTAATCTATGAGGGCTTTTTACCTTACATTATGAACGCTTCCATCCTAAGATAGTTAACACTAGAAGCTTCCGCGAGTAAGAGAGTCCCACCAAGGCAGAAAATCATCCTCAAATTCTCATTAAACAATATAATCGTTAATCTTAAATGGATGATAAATGGAAACCAACAACCAAAGCTATGTGAGGAACCTATGAAGGCTAGGTACTGATACACGTATGGTACAGATATCGTCGTATAAATGTACAGATAAGATAGAGTACTAATACAAATACATTCTGCCAGCTCAGCTGTCGAACGTGGCAGCCACCTGGCATCGATTAATTTATGGTCTCAGAAGGAGTGAATAGAGTGGTCGGGACTTCCGAGTTTGAGATTGGACTGATTCCATGAAATGTCCCAATTAGGGTTCGATTGGGAGTTGTGAGCGGGCAGATGAGCGTGGAAGGATCCATTGCCTGGAGATCACGAGTCGCAGTTCTTTCGCAACTCGGAGAGCGCCTGGTACATGTAAGGCAAGCATGCCATTTGTCTTCTTGTGTAATTGTTATGAAATACGAGCTTCGCGGTCGACACTCCGGGTTAGAACGTCGAGTTTTGCGACGTCGTGTTACGAAATCCTGCGAATTATCTTGTTCACTTGGGAAGTTTAAATTCGACTTCGAAGGAGGAGCTGATGTGTGAAGTAGTGAGTGATATCTTCGACTATAGGTTGGATGGTTGGGAAGAGCAACAATTGTGTCATATTTAATGTTTGAGGAGTTTTCGGCGGTTCGCAGTGGACAGAGGATTCGCGCAATGGCTTGCGTAGCAGCTACGATTGGTGCTATGTTGCCCTCTTCAGCGGTTTCTCTCACCATTAGCAGGATTCAGAATTCTGCGTCCGCTGTCACTCAAGCGACTCTGTTAGTGCCTTGTATCCAATCACGTCGTTTGTTCAAGCCGAATTTGGTACAGGATTTGCAGCAGGTGAGTTTTGCCTTGTGCCTCGGCCGTACAATTCGTGGCATTGCGCGTTGCATAGCTGTCTCATTTGTATTTTATTGCCAATTGTGTTTTTCTTTCCTGTTTTTGTTCAAGCCTTCTCACGAGAAGTATATTATGCTCTGCTGAACGAGCCTGAGTTTTTGGGTTAAGTGGTTAATTGGAGCCTCGAGTCAAAGGGAACTTCATCTCTTTGCATTTGTTGCATCAACTGCCAGTGCCACAATTTGCACTCTGTACTATTGTAATGAACATTTGTATCCATTGCATACCTTAGTGAAAGGATTATGTTTCTGCTACTACCGCCTTGTTTAGAACCACCTAGCATATTCTGAATTTCATGACGAGAATGATTGAGGTTGGATAGTTCATTAATTCTACTACATTTGTCTCGACTGACTGTACATATGCATTGTGCTGGCAGGGTGTGAAATCATGTGGCATCTCCAGTAGACCAAGTCACCGCAATGTGACTTGCGAGGCTGGCACTGAGACAGGTTAGGATTTTTCTTAAGTAAGTTGAGTTTGTCACAGTCAACGTGAGAGGGTGCTTACACCTGTTTCTGAGTTGCTTCTTTAAAACTGGAGTACAAAGGGAGAACCACGCATCGATAGCGTTTTTTCAGCAGCATATGATCGGGTATTTCACTAGATCGGATCCATTTGAACAGTTTTGTATGAAATAAAAGTTCAAAGGGTTTGGATATTACAGTTATCCAAGACACGAGATGTTTTCTTTGTGAGGCTGACTTCTAACCAAGGTGATGAGCTAAATCCGGGATCCTGAATATGGTGGTGCAGTGTCTTCCTCGCCTGGAACAGTCTGGGTCCAACGTACTGTTGAGCTCCCACCCTTCAAGAGGTATATTTCTCATGTCTAAGGTCATGATTGATTATGCAAGAAAACTTTTAAACTTGTCATCGGTACTATCTTGTCAAGCAGGTAGTTTTTATTTTTATTTATTTTTTCTTTAAATACTTTTTATGGATATTGCTTGTAAACTTTACATTACTCTAAGTGGAATTTTGTTATAGATGCTTAAGCTCGTGTGGTCTTGTTCTAAGTGAGAAGTTAGTGTGTCTTTTATTTTATTTTTAATTTTTTCTTATCCTTGTCCTCGGGTAGCAAAAGAACTGAGAGGTTTTGAATTTTTTGATAAGACCTGGCGGAATGACTGTTTGCAGGGGCTGCCATATCATTACTAAACAAATTTACAATGCAGTTCCGGAGATAAACCAATTTAGAGTTGGCATTGCTCATTTATTCGGTATATTCTCTCTCAAAGATGTCTCTCGTCTCAAGAGAAGATAAATATTTTGTTCCATTTCATTCCATTCTTCTTTTATGACTAATTTTGAATATTCTAAAAGTCTGCTAAGTTTTCAAGTTGCGTTTCTCTTTTTATCTTCAATGATGAAGTTCTGTTTTATAAACGCATATTTGCGTAGCGTTGACATATGGTACGGATTGTGCTGCTAATTCTGTTCTACCCTGTCCTGTTTAGTCCCTTGAGGTCACATTCTCTAAAAACAGTTGTGCTTTGGGGTTTTTAAACAGTATTGCACACTTCTGCAAGTTTAACCATCAATGAGAATGCAAGCTCTGATGTTCCTTTGGATATGGAAGACGCTTTGAATCGGATTGTGCCAGAGGTATGTACCTGCTTGTATTGCTGGTAGGATTTGACCAGTTGAATGTATTCTATTTCTTCAATGGAGCTTCTTGAAATATTTTGTGTATGAAATGTACTAAGTATAGAGTCGGATTTGGTTAATTTAATGAGAGCGTAAGTAACCAAATATCTGGGTTGCATGTAACTGACCAGCACATTTTTTTCTCTAGCCTTATCGGCATTTGAGTCCTTCATTGTGCATCTTTGCAGGGAAATCACTATCGTCACTTGGATGAAGGTTACGATGACATGCCTGGTAAAAGTTTGTTTCCCTCATTGTCTTCAATGCGAAATGGTTGCAGCACGCAATAGTTTCTTGTGTTTTCGTAATTTCAAATGGGTTTATGAAGAGCTTGTGAAACATAATTTTTTTGAAAGCGTCGCAGTGGATCTTTTTAGGGTGCATTAGTGGTGGTCATTCGTTTAGTTTTTATCGTCTCACCTGAGAGGCAATCATGGTGTACTTGAAATGCTCATTCAAAAGGACAGGTGTGTTGTAGCTGAACCTCATAGGTAGTCTAACATGTTATCTCATGTACTCAGCACACGTCAAGGCTTCAATGATGGGCAGCTCTTTGACTATCCCAATCACCGGTGGGCGCTTCAAGCTTGGAATCTGGCAGGTACTATCAAATGTTACTGTTCTTAGTGTTAATGAACTGCGTCAGAACTTGACATGTATTCTTGTGTATGTTGGGGGGCACTGCTTAATTTGAGATTTTAAACTTGTGTTTGGAACTGCATAATACGGTTTGAATATTCATTGAAATCTCATGTTGATTGAATCTGAAGGGTATATGGTTGAATGAGCATCGGAACTACGGGGGCTCCAGAAGTATTTGCATTACCATACAAGGCGAAAAACGTGCAGATGGAAGGTATGAGCGTAACTTTTTTGCCTCTTGCACTTCAATACTGAAATTTCCTTAGGTCTAGTTTCAACGCTCCTGACCTTCTGATTCACCACTAAGACTTTTCAAATCTAATTCGACCAAGTTAGTAAAGAAGCATACATACTGATTATTTCTAGAAAGTTTTGGCTTCATGTTTGCTAGAATCAAACTATGGGGTGTTTTGTGGTGTTTTCTGTTGCACTGAAAATGTATTAAATTTTTATGTGCCATTATGCCTTTCCAGGGTTTACAAGTGAATCACTGTGCCATAGTTTGTGTCCAGTAAATCATGTATGCACCAGTTAATCGTGCAGAACCATGAACTCGCACTGAATGGAAGCGGGTCAAGCTCGACAGGCTAGTAGTACTTCATCATGAAATAACAAGTTGTAATTACAAAACCATTTCCAGGTTCTTTGTATTTTAGTACGAGCAATACTTGTATGAAGTGAAGTTGGCTCTTCAGAAAATTGTCCTCTACATCTACATCAGAATCTGAAGCAAGTGTATGTTTACATTTGCCCAGTGCCTGGATACAGGATTGTTAAAACTAGTAGAGAATATATCTGAACATCTTTGACAACTTGTAACCTCAAATCATCTGCCCAATGGATCTTTGGACAGATTTTTTTCTTCTTGAAGGACTCTAATCAACCTTTTTACAGAGTTGGTAGTACATTTCAAAAATTATATATATATAATTATATGTGAACATTGTTTTAAGGAAGTTAAGGTGTAAGACAAAGAGACAAAGAAGCCTTCTCATTGGCCAAACATGGGAACATATATGGAAGAGGAAATGGATGGATGGTAGTGCCCAACATCACATGTTTCTGTTAATATAAATATATATACATATATATATATATACCTGTGTACATATTATGCTCAAATATTTATCGCAATACATTGTAAGGAAGTTCATGTTATTTGTAGTGGATTGGATTTATAATTGGTTTTAGATGCATTATGTGATAATACAAACTTTCCTTAGAAAGTTTTGATATCTAAGAAGCTACTAATGAAGCATATTATAACTTTGACATTAGATTTGTAAACTTTGTGATTCTTAAGAAATTTATACATTGCATACTTATTAATTAGTTTTTCTAGAAGAAGAACTTCAACCACTAATACATTTATCAACGTTTTTGTATTTTTAGTTTTCTTTATATTTGATAAAATTTATTAAAGTATTAATTTAGTTTAAAAAAATATCATCAAAAATTTGATCACAATTTTTTTTTTTTTTTTTTTTTTTTTTTTTTTAACTACATATACATTGGATATATTTTTATTAGTATGTATAGAGTAATATATTTTTATATTATATTCCAAAATATATTAATTTTATATAAAGAATAAAAATTAATATATATATTTTAAAAATAAATTAAAAATATAATTAAATCTATATATAAAAATAAGTTGAATAATTATTATAAAAGTATATTAAGAAAAAAAAGAATCTAAAAAAATTTTAAAATTAGATTTGAATAATTAATAATAACAAAATTATTCTATAAGAACTCAATTATGGTACTAATAATTTTTAAAAAAAAACCATTTCTAAAGAAATAAATAATAAAAACTAAAATAAATTATTTTAACCTTTATTTTATTTTCTTAGAAACAATTCATATACAATTAATTGTAAAAAATATAAATCTCTAAAGAAGAAAATATAATTACTTGATTAAAAATATATATTAATATATTAATATATTTAATATATAATATTATTAAAAATCAAACATAATGAGTAATATGTATTATGTATTTTAAAATTATATATATATATATATATATATAATTTTAAAATATTTTTTTGAATTGATTGAAGAAAAAAATATAATTATTTTGTCATTAATATTATTATATGAAAATTACTTAATAATAATTTTAGAAAAAAGTTATTAAAAATGTATAGAGAAATAAAAATAAATTAAAAAATAATTTTTTTTATTATATGAAAACTTTTTAATTATTATTTCCATAGTTATTAAATTATTATATTACAAATGATTCATTCTACAAAATATAGAAGATTAATAGTTTTATTCAAGTTATCTTTTAATATCAGTATATTCAATTTTTATTCTTTATCTTTGACAAAAAAGTAATAAAAAATAAAGTAAATTTAACATAATAAACTAAATTTTAATTTATACTATATTTGATTCAAATATGATAGTCTTGCTGAAATGATTCATTTATATTATATAAAAGAAAATCATGAGTTACTTTGTAGTTACTTTGCTTTGTCAAAACTATAACTAAATTGAACTTTGTCGCTAGTAATTAATTTAATATATATATATATATATATATATATATATATATATATATATATATATTCTATAATCTAATAGTATTTGAACATGCACATTTTAATATATATTTTTATATAAATAATAATATAAAATCCAAATAATATATAAATAATATATAATATTTTTCGTATAAATAATATTCAAATATTGATAATTTTTTGAAGTATTGCATATGAAATAGTTTTTTTAATGTATAAAAAATATTAACAATATATGTCAATTTTAAACTATATAAGCAAATAACAAAGTTTGTGGTTGCATCAAATTAGTAAAGATTTATATAATCTTATTACTTAGGTGTGTCAAAATTAAAACCATGTATTAGTATCTATGAAATAAAAACATCATTTACAAAAAAGATACATATTGTTGTTATTATGCCAAAAAATATTTGTTTGCTATTTTCTATGGTGTTGGATAAAAAATTGATTTGTAACAAATGAATAGATTTTAAAAATTAATCCCTATACTCAACTAACAAATAAATATTTTCTAATGTATTTATCATTTGTAGAGTTGAAATTGAAATAGAAGTTGTATCTTTTGTGTGCTACTTGTCCAATACCTGTGAACTTCAGGATAAGGGATAGGATTACAACCTATTACAAGAATACTTATTTATCTTTTAAACTTGAAGTAGGAGTTAGAAAGGCCTTTGTCACGAACATACAACTGAAGAAGATTCTAGAAGGTTCTAGTAGGTTCTAAGGATGTCCTAGAAGGTTCTAGGAGGCTTTAGATGATTTAGGAAGTTGCTGAAGAAGGATCTTAGGCTTAGTTTGTTCTCTTGCTAGGACCTTCTTGCGTTGTATGTAATTTTTGTTTTAATGTCAAGGAAATTCCATTCCTTGGTGTTGAATCCTTGTCTTGTATATGGTCCCTAACAGTTTGTCGAGACTGCCATAAAATAATATTAGGACCTTAGACTTTCTTGACAAAGAATGGATTATCCCTCTTCTTCAAAGTACTATAGCATTCTAGAGGTTGCGGATTACCCTCCTCTAGACTAATATTTTTTTCTTAATATTCTTTTGGTTTCTTTTCTTTATATCATAGATCAAGTTTTTTTCTTTTGAAGGCATGTATTTCTCTGATTTTCTATGGTAGAAGGTAGAAAATTCAATATAACACACTAAAAAAAAATCAAATTAGATTTTATTATTAATGCTCTTGAAGCATTGAAGATTATGATAGAAACTTTGTTGAAACAGAATGAAGAACTATATATGACCACACATAATGGTCAAGGAGCCGGAGTGCTTCAATTACCACATCAAATTGCAACAAAGGTTCCAAATTCTCAAACGACTATGTTTACTTCAAATATAGGAGGTGCATCCATTCAAGGCAATGATCTGACAACAAAAACAACAAAAGAACCAAGGATTAGCCTTTTGGAAAAGTTTGATGGCACTCGCTCAAAATTTTGTTGCTTTGCAAACTAAGTATGAATAATTGCCTTGCTTCAACCTCAATGATATTCCATTGAAGCCTCTTGTGTTGGTTTGGTTGGCACCTTGCTCTTAAGTCAAGCTTTGTCCTAATTTACCTCATTATTTGAAAAGAATTCTCCTATATTACACAATTTTGAAACACTTTTGGCAACATTTGTAGAAGCATTTGGTGAACATGATAAGGTTTATTCTTCAACAATTAAAATTTTAAGCCTTCAATAAGAAACTCACTCTGCATCAATATATACCTCAGATTTTTGATAGTTAGCATGTGATATAAATTAGAGAAAAGATGCATTTATTAGCCAATTTTATTGAGAATTAAGAGACGATATCAAAGACTTATTCTTGTCTATGCCAAATCCTCTAACACTCAATGAAGCCATTAGTCAAGCTTTGAAGTGTAATAATAGTTTATTTCAATGACGAGAAGATAAACATTCTTCAATTATGCTACATGTATACACCAATTATTTTGCAGCTTCTTCACCACCTAATTCTAATAAATAATTGGAAGCAAAAGATATATAAATTGATGCAATTTGCTTCAAACTTCTTTCTCAATAATAAAAAAAGCGTCAAAGGGAACTTGACCTATGCTTATATTATAAAAAATCTGGCCATAAGATTAATAATTGTTCAAAGAAACGGTAGCATATATATCGAATGAAGAATGCGGCTACATCATCATAAACGAGGGTGTCCAATCATAATAAAGATTGTGCAGTTGGATTCTTTACTATCACAAAGCAAAAAAGGTCTTGTACTCTTTGCCAGCCTGTCATGAATTTAGAATATTGATTGAAAACCTAAACAAGAAGTTCAAGAAGAATCAATAAGAACTAAATTAATCAAATGAGTACAAGAACAACACTAGAGAGGTGAGTTAGAGCTCCAAGAGGTGTGTTGTCGAGACTCAGGATCCCCTCAATCTCTGCTCCTATATATACTACAAGCTAAGAAGCTTGTCAAATAGCTTCCACAAACTAGGATGCTTCTCAAGCAGCTTCCTCAAGCTTGAAAACTTCTCAAGTAGCTTCTACAAACTACAAAGCTTTTCTAGAACCTTCCAGAATCTTCTATAATTTCCTAGTGTATGTCCTTGACATCACCTCCCTTCCCTCCCTTTAGCTTCGAGGTTTCCGAGAAGCACTCCTATTGCAAGTCAATACCAATGTAAGAAGTTAAAAATTTATCACATAGTGTCTGCAATATATTCCAATTGCTGTTCGGATGGCAAGTAGTTCATTGATCCTTCTAACCAATGATAGTATCCTACGCCTTCGATTTCTGACCAAATATTAACTTCTATGTCTTCATAGTAAAAATGCCCTGCAAACACTCCTTCGGGAAGATCACCATAGGCAGGTTCTACCTCAAACACAATCACTAGCGACTTATTACTAGGTATCCTCTATCGTCTTTGTAGTACATGCGATTCTTTATCTTGGGGTCGTCTTCGTGAGATACTTGGTTGAGAAGACATGACTAATATGATATCTATCTCTTGTCTATCTATATTAGACCAAAAAGACAAGCACTAAATATGAAAGAATGGGCTCAGGTTACATATTTATAGTCTCTAATTATGTCTTTTAGAAGTTCCTTCTCTCCCTTCTTTGTAAGGCCGAGGATTAAGAGACTTCAAGGAGAAGGGACTTCACTAAAAAACTTTCATCGAAAGGACTTAGATTTCTAAAGATAGTATCAATAAAACTCCTGTACGTTTTGTGACGCATTGATAAGATTTTTCGTTGGTTCTTATGTGCACTCATTGATATTATAGCCGCTTCAATGCACTAGGTACTCCAATTTTTCCCACTTATGCCTTGAATCTAGTATCTTTTTCACCTCGTATTCCTCGTGGTTCTCAATTTCA